AAAATATATATATAAAAATTATAATTAAAAATTGAATGTATATATATATATATATATATATATGTATATATATATATATATATATACAATATATATATATGCATATATATCTGTTACTCAAGCATTTTATATAATTTAAAATTGATTGATTGATTTTATGATTGATTTTGCTGTGCTTGATACGATAATAATTATAATTATTATCTGTATAATGAGAGAGGAAAGAAATCTCTCTATCCTGAATGAGAACGTTAGTGAGTGCGATTCTTAGAACACATTTATGAGCCGTCAGTCGTCAACCCGGCACAAAACTTCACAAATAGACGTCACGGTAATATAACGTCGGTTACGACCATAAACGAGCCTACATCGGAAAAGTGAATTTGATAGTTCCATCGCGCGTATCCGGACCAGGATGTGTAATAAAGCGACACGGCGGTCGTCGTAACCGGCCGCCTCGGACGAGCAATCAGATTGGACCATAGTGTTCTGGGCAGCTCGTGCCGTGCGATTTAATGGAGCAAATCCTTTCGACCAATTATCGACAGCCATGTGTCAGATATGGTAGCGAATCCAGTGTGTATAATGTGTACGTTCCTGTATACGCCCGCAGTGCGCGCGTTACGAGGCACTTCTTTTTTCTGCGATCGCTATAGCTGATCCCACCCACCGGCGTAAAGTCCAATTAGAGTCGGCTACCCGTCCGAAGATAATTGGCGAACATTCGCGCGAGAACGTAACTCACCAGCCGGTAGCCTCTCTTCCTTCTTCTGTCCCGTTTCCTCGCCGTTCATTCCTGTAGCTCTGCCACGTTACGGTATCACACCTCTCTGTCATTGGAACTTCTTATCGTGTGCTTGTCGTTGATTACATTCCATACAGATAACGCGCCCGCACGATAGAATCGACACAAGCTTGAAACGCAGTGATCGCATCGGGCGGAGTAGAGATTTCAATGCTAGGTACGTAGATATGCCAGGAGAGTTCAACGCAAGGTAAGCGAGTACTCTATCAGCGCGCATGCGTAGCGATAGTATTATCTCAATGAATCATAAATTCCTTGGTAAATTCGCGACGTAGCTTAAACGAAAGATTGCCATGTCTAAACTTTCACATATTGTTTATATACTTATTATAAGTATGAATAGAATTAATTTAATATAACTCTTTTTTTTATTTAATGTTTTAGCGCTTGTAAACGTAAAATATGTTTCATTTAAAAATGTCTTAAAAATAATTGATATCGCGCGCTTCCCGTTGAACATAAAAGTCACTGACGCCAAAAGTGCAATAATAAAATTTCATTGGCGCGCCTCGGCACCCTATAAAAATCAGCGCCGAATAAGTCGCTTTCCATTCGCGGCGTACGGTGCGTTACGTCGCGCGGCATCCGGACGTTTCGCTTGTCGGAGAATCGTGGGGAGCAACAAAGAGCAAAAGACGGAGTCAATAATATCACGTAAAACACCCACACGAGGTAAGGTGAGGCGGTCCGCGCGAGCTGGCTGGCTGGCTGGCTGGCTCCCCGAGCGGCGATTGAGGCACGGCCCGGCCGTAAGTCTCGCGCGAGCATAAACCAATCCTGAAAGGAGAACGCGATGGAATGGGGTATCCATTTCACGAGCGATGGAGACATCGGGGGTACCTCGTTCGATCTCACCTCGTATGCTAATTTTCCGGCCGTACGCCGCGCCACGCTGTCCGCCGCTCTCGGCTAGCGCGCGGCGCGATGCGGCGTCTCGCGCGCACACTGCTACAAGAAGAGCGGCACGGAAATAGTAGGAGGCCCTTGGGGATAGTCGAAGAGTTTGCCAGAATCTGCATTAAATCTCGCGCCGGTTTACTTAGAAGGAGAAATCATCCGCATCGCGCGCGTCGGAATGAGAGATACATTATGGATTGTTGTTGATTTTGTTTAAGTACAAAATATCTTTAAAAGTCAAACCCAATTTCTAATTCTTAAGTTCGTAACCGACTTGATTATTTTAATAAGTTAAGATTAAATTGATTTATGTGAATTAGTTACACCTTTTGTCTCTTCTATCGTCATAAACCGAGTGTAATTCGAGAAAATGTAATCTAATGTGTCAATTGGATAATCTTATCGAAATTTAATACTTACATGAATATTAAATGTTATTAATGCAGAATAATTTTTCTTGTGAAATTATTTGATACATGTCGACGCACCTTGCACTGGCAAGTGGCAACGGCCCTTATGTTGTTTCACCTGCAAACCACGTTAAGCGACCCGCATCTTTGTCTTATCTTACACCTTCACGCAACAACCAACCTCTTCCACCCCTCCACACTCCAGGCGGCTGTTGAATTTTTCATCTAACGACCGTTGTTACCGCCTCGCTTCCATCATTCGTATAGGCTACCACTTTATACCGCCGAACCTGCCGGGAGCGTAACCAAGGTTCCCTTCGGTGCAACCTTCGCGAAATTTTCGTTGGAATACGCAGGCACGTGCGTGCGCGCACGGGGGACCTCCCGCGGAGGACTCGACGACTGATAAAAATGTCCCTACTTGATTCCGCCTCTCTGCGAGGAGTCTCCTTCGCCCCACGCCCGCCTTTATCTCGTCTTATTTGGTACGGACGAATGACGAAGGACGCAAGAGATTACTGCGCTGCTGCCTGTCGAGAGACGCATCCCGAGTGCGGTAGGTACCCCGCAAGAGTCAGTTCGCCGGATGATAAAATGACGGGGGATGAGACCGGACCGCATGTGATGTGCGGACACTATCCTCGTTATGCTCGCGAGCAGCATGCGCCGCATCAGTGAATAATGAGTCCCGCGGAATTTCAGTGCAGGAATCCGTGACTTTTCAGCGTAACATGCCTCGACCCTGAAATAAGGAAATGAGGAGGATTCGCGCAAGAAGAAATTGTCGATTAATTTTCTTAGGTCGTTAAAAAGCGTTAAAAATACAATTGCGGTAGCAAATTGATATTAAAGAAAATTCGGAATGATATAAACTTTTGGATCGCAACTAAAATTATGCGAGACTGCTCTGCGTGATTAAATCACTAAAGAAAAAAAACATAAAAAAACATGTGTAGAAACGTCTTTAATTTCGCAACCGTAATTGCACCGTTTTCTTCCTCGGAGGAAGAGCAATTCTCTCTGAGGTATATTTCTCTGGAGCTCCAATTGAAGCTCTGGAATCTGCGCTGGAACTTGCGGACGTATATGCATGAAAGTTCAGCCTCGGCGTTTCTCGGTCCAGTCGTCATCGTCGTTCTCGAAGTAACGCTGAAGATAATTTATGTAATTCATTCGGTTAATATCGGCGCGCCGTGTCGTAAAGCGTTCGCATAACCAATTTGGCACTAAAGACCCCGGCACGAGGGCCCTTTAAGGCCCCTCTCGCGGTGGGCAGTGCCATAACATTACGGGTTACGAGTCGTCCCGTGCCCCTCGTCGTCCACATCCGTCGCAGTCATCTCCGCCGTCGCCGTCGGTTCCCCCGTTCCCTCCGCGGCGTTCTGTTGCCCCGCTATCCGCTCCCCGTATTGTCCCTTTTTTCCTCAACCTTCACCTTTTTCTTCACGTTCGTCCGGGCGTCAGGTGGAGAAGCTGTGCGCGGCCGATGGCGGATGATATTAGCATGGTAACTGGTGGCCCCAGCAGGCGCCTTATTAAATTTGTACCATAAGCAATATCGGGATGCGGCCCGGGGCCGTTTCAATTTGCCGGCCTGGAAATTTAAGGCTTAACCCGCCTCGCTCGTTGCCGGTTGCCACCGCGTCACCGTTACCGATTACTTTATTGTAATCACAAATTCACCGCGAAGGTCGGAAGACGTGTATCTTTACAGCTGTCATTTCTTTTTGTATGTCATTCGAAATCGCGCAAACTTCGACGACGCTTCACTGCTCTTCAGAGGATGCGTGAAGACGAGTGGTAATTCTAAGAATTCGCTAATTGCGATGTGGTGGAAGAGAGCTAAGCGAGCAGGTGGATCTTCCTACGAACCGCAACATCTCTCTTCGCAAATCGCGTGCTGTACCACGCTCAAGGTCGCAGCGAGCGTAATGTGAGTGTTTCAACCGCAATTGATTTTTTCATTTTGCCCCGTCGCTATCTGCGCGAAACGTGTAAATTGCGAAGCGGACTGTCTCGCAACGCTAATTTTGTGTATACTCGCGTCTAGATGTGGTAGATCTACTTACCAGCGTGTTTATCACGAATTAAATATCACTGCACGGATAAATACTGTAACGCACTTTACGACTGCGTCGCGGAATCAGTTGCATCTGACATGGTGAATATAGGGTTCTAAGATTCGCGCACTCTAAAGAACGCTTCTACGTGGCATAAAATCAGTCGTTTACTTTTATGATTGGATCTTAAATCGAGCATGTTACTACACGGCTTATTTCTAAAATTCACGGATATAATTCTCAAAGATATACAAGAGGAATAAGAGAAGATATATGCGTGACATTCATGATCATGCATTATAGCTGCACGATCCTGTTATAAGTTAAATCCATTATTCACACGTTTTGCTGCATTCGTCCACGATGAATAAAAGTTAATTCAATGTTTTATCTGCGTCAATAAATAATGGTCGAATACTGTTTACAGCAACAATGCCGGGGTATCTACGCCGGTGACGCACCGCGGTGAGAAAGAAAGGACACGAAACGAAATGACATAATAAGATGTCGGTGCCAACGGTACCATACCGCTAATGATTACAAATGACTGGACCGATATACTTGCGCCGACCAAAAGAACGAGTTTCGTGATCGATCGGCCGCAGGAATATCGCTCGATTCGATTTGGAACTCCGCCGGTGTCCCCGTGAATTTCTCGACCGACTTTTCTCTCGTATAACGATATAGGAATTTTTGATAATAATTTAAAGGAAAAAAAAGTTGATAAATTAGAATCAAAGATTGGACTATCGAAAATAATTTGCTTTATGAATTTTAATGAAGAGAGAAGTTAGGCATTTTTTACGGAAAAGAAAATAATTTATCGATCCTTGTGTTAAACACGCACGATGTTCGTCACAATTCAGCATATAAGAAAGGACGCTAACCAAAATAGTTAAATGTCAAAATGCACGTTGAGGCGCGTATGTTTATCGTCAAGAAGAAACGAAGAATTAGTATTCCTAAAAATTTAAGTATCGTTCACTGTTGGAATACTATTGGACCGATTATTGCTCGAGAAATCGGGGGACACGATTACATTCCGATTCCGTATTGCTTTGACACAAACGCATATAAAATTGGCCATATCTTTGTGCCAATCACCATCCAAGTAATATATAATAAGAATAATAACCATTTTTTGGTATCTACTTCAAGTTATTTTCTCACTACTCATGAAACAGAAAAAATGTTTCCGCCACACGCCAGTTTTAAAAATACTCGGACCGATTCACAATTTTGCGGTGAAAAGCGAGACAAATGCCAAATGGCTCGATAAAGAATTTCATAGTATGCGAACGTCCGACGAACAAACGAATTTTCGAGTGAATATTAGTAAAATTATAAATTTATTAAAAACAGAATAACTATGATCGAGTTTCCTGAATATTTTTAAATATGATTGCAGGTAACTGTCGAGCATGGAAAGCAATTACTGTCGAGTAATGGAATTGTCGAGTGTGGAAAAAATCAACTAAGTTTTACAGGTCGTGATTATTATTTTCTCAGTAAAGCGCACGATATGCTGGTCGAAGGGAACGTAATGATAAATCGCACAGCTCACGAAAGTAAAATATATACATATATTATTTAATCGGTATTTAATATAGTAATATACAATAAGTACATTTATCTTTAGATTTAATGAATGCTAAGTGGATCGGACTGATAACACATGTAGTTGTTACGAGTGTTTTCGAGTTTCATATTGTTAAAGATCTACGTGAAAGAGTTCTGTATATAAGCGATAATGAACATACGATTCTTTTTAAATACGAAATATGCGAAATCGATCCGCGTGGAACCGTAATAAAATCTGTGAGTTTTTATGTCAATTTTACATTGAGAGAGAAATCTCGGCATCACAGATTTATTTTATTTCGGCAGGAAACGAAGAAAATACACTGCAAATGGTTGCCAGTAGGGGACAAAATATCAGACAGTCTTCCATTAACTGAATTCTCAAACTGAATGTTAGCTCCGATAACATGTGATAATTACTTTTGTTTAAGAAACTGAAAAGATATATTTATCCAAGTTTCTTATAATTTTTTAGCATTGACTATATATGTCATTTTTCATGTACTTATATATATTTCTATCCGATTATTTACGCATTACATTCTATCGCTTTTTTTCAAGAGATCACGATGGTGCCTCATTCGCGAGAATACATTTGTCACCTTAAAATACCAGAACCAGTTCATTTCAGACATGGTATCTGTTTGATCGGTACAGAACAGGATCGTGACACTGATGACACCGATGAGAATACGGCAAAGATACCGCGCAATTTATTTCCATTTTCCGCGTGGTGCAAGCGCCCGTGGACACAAGTGCATGCGTATGCAAGAACGCGCGCGAGCCTGCCGCGGTAGATCGGACCCGCGATATCGGCTGGTTCCGCGGCCGGGTCGTGTGCGCATCGCGCATAAGTTATTGCGGAGATCGGTCGGAACGCGCAAAATTCAATAAAGTTATTTCACCGCCGCGTTAAAAAAGGGGGAGGAGAGACAGAGAGGGGGAGCGAACAGGGCGCGAAGGCGGTGCACAATCGTGGCCGGATTGAATTATCGGCGTTAAATTTCGCGTTTTATGCGCGCGACCATACGGCTGCCCTGTCAGCGCCGCCGGATGGAGACATTATAAATGTTAATTGCACGAATTGCACAGCTATCGCGCGCGCGACGTTGTTTTTTTTTGTCCCCTCTTTCCCTCTGTCTCTCTCGTCCTTTCTTCTTCATCTGCATTTTTTGTCTCGCTCTCCGCAATTCTTCTCATCTCTTGCAGCGTCGTCCCCGACTTCGCATCTTCTTTCTGCCCGCGCCCCCGCTATCCCATTTCGTCTCTCTCCATGACGCACCCTTCCCCCTCCCCCACCCCCGTTCTCGCAGAACGCATGAGACTGCATTTGCATCTCAATCTCGCCGTTGATTTAGCAGTCGTCCGGGGCCATCACTCTTGCCGCGGGAAAGGTCGACTTCAGTATTTTTAGATTAGCCGGTCGCGATATATGCAGCTTCTCGCGCAGCACTTTTTCGGGAAGGGTAGAGTGGGGGACGGGACCCTTCGTCTTCCTTTTTGGCGCAAGAAAGAGAGTCTCGCGCGCGCACGTACAAGCGTCTTTAAATTGTAGATGGAGACAGGCCAGGAAGAAACCAGGAAAAAGATCGCGAAGGAGGTCGACTTTTGTCCTTGAAATGCGCGAGGGATGTGTCACGGGTCAATGACCTCTTTTTTTCCTCTGCACTCGCGCGGCACTCGCACTCTCGAAAACGAGTTGTCATTCGTGTCGTAACTCGTGGAAGTCGAATTTGCGTTCCGCGCGTACATGGTTGGGTCCCGTTAAAAATACAGGTCGCCCCATACGTTGTACAACAAAGTTTACAGAAGTGAATATGGATTCTTATTTCTTTTGCATAAAAAAAATTCGAAGTTCTTAAGATTAATTAAGAAGATTAAAATTATAACTTTAATTCTTAATTAACATTAGCAACGTTAAGTCTTAAGCAATAAATATCTATGGAAAAACACAGGTATTATACAACGTTTGATTCACAGTTCGGCATGCGGATCGCGACAAAACGTTCAATTTTTAAAGTTCCACATTTTATCGAGATTTATGATCTAGCTACGCATAAGGGCGTAAAAACGTCGAAATTCTCGCAGCGCCTCTTTATTTACGAAAGGGCAGCGACACCGTGGGTCACACAATAAAACGGCGTTTATTACGGCACAGCTCCCGCATTGCGCCCGTGCTGGAGCATCGGTCGGGCACTATATCATCTTACAAGTTAACTTTTATGACGGCCCACCTGCCGCCATCTTGGAATGCGTAAATAAGCGCTATCTTGATCTTAATGCATCCGTGATCCCGCTGCAACCAGATAGCACGGCTGCGACAATCGCGGCTGCACCAGAAAGCGACAACGCGGTCACCGTACGAACCGGAAGCTGAATCGAAATATATGCATAAGCCATGAAAATTAGTCTCTAATTTTCCTCATCTGATTTTTCTACAAAAATATTTTTACTTGAAATTTTCATAGGGAAAAATGAACGATCTTTCTATTAAATATATAATTGTAACTTTGTTCAAATTATTCTAAAAATAATTTATTATACAAAAATTATTCTAAGATACACACACGACTTTAGGAACAATCATAAAGAAAATAAACGAACGCGTAGGTACACGCCCAAACGCATGAAAGCGTATTTGCGCACAAGTACGTCACTTTCATCGCATGTTGACAGCCACTTGCTCAACGTACATAGAGGCGGGTGCATCTAGAATGCAGGCTGTGCAGTTGCGCCGTCGACACTCGGCACGACTTCCGGCAGGAGGGGCGGAAGTTGTCATCGGTAGAGGCGCGTGCCGGCCACGCGACCGGTCGCGCCTATATTCGCTTTTACCTCGAACGGGAGAGCCCCAACAATTGACGTTAACGGGACGATCGTGCCGAGACTTATAATTGAGCCACCAATCCCAATTCACGATCGTGTCCGGCGGAAAGTAACCGAAGGCGAAATAAAGTCATCCCGGCTTCACCTATTCATCAAAATTGTTTTTAGGGGAAAGGTGAGGCCAAACGTGTGAGAAAAAAGTCGTTTTTAAAACGTTACAAGGTATAATTTGCAAGAGTATATTAACTGATGAGATGCATTAGAAAAATATTTGAACGCGTAACAATAACATTGTCAATTAGTCTGATTTAAAATCGCGTTTGCTAACGCTGACAATGCATTCTAAAGACATGTGCGTAATAATAGAGCAACGTACGAGATAGTAACAATAATCGAGTCTAATTTAATACCGTCTTTATCATGAAGATTGATAAGCACGCGAGCCTCAGCGGCACGTAGTATAATCGGGCTGTAATAATAATGTAGCCGTGGCAGAATGGCTGCACGTACTGTGAAATAATAACAGCCGCGTAGAGTGCGGATAATAAGGAAGCGGATAAATTATTTTCGAATTACACGGTTAGCGCTAATGGGTTGATCGTGCCCGGTAGCTTCCCTCGCGATGTTGCGTATCCGCGCTGCCGCGCGTACGCTAATAGCCGTCTACCATAGATTCTAACGAAACTTGACAGATGCAGAAACGCGGATGTGCCGCCAGGGCGTTACCTGTTAGAGCGTTATTCGATGCGCTCGCGCGCGAGCATAAAGAATGCATATCTGCTAAGGAGAGCCGATAATTACGAATGTCAACCGTTATCTTAGAAATCGTGCGGGTAGGTACCTTGCTGCGCAACGACGTGCGACCTGCGTGCACCTGCGCCGTTGTGCGCGTGCCGATGCACTCGCTCTCGCAGTCACCGCACGCAGCCGTGCAAACATGCGGCACGCACACGGAAACGCGTGTCCATGCGGTTTCCACGCGGAGCGGAGCCACGAAACGTACGTTGCTCCGAAACAATAGTTGCCATGGTGAAAGGCAACACACCCGCGCGCGCGCGCTCGCGCGCGACACCTGATTTCAACGGGCCCCGCCGACGGCACCGCCACGAAAAAGGGAACAAAGGGAACGCGAGACCTCTTGACCTCGCCCGCGAGAAAAGGGAGCTGCTGCTCCACTTTTCAGAGCGTTTCACGACGGCTCTTTGTCGAGCTTCGTTCGTGAGACGGCCATTTCGCGTCGCCGCTTGGGAATTTAAGATGAAAGCGACGTCACGGCGGCTCAATCTCGCCGGCGACAACGACGAATTGTGCTGGATTCTTTAGCGTATTGATGTCACGCGATATCTTTACGACACAACATCAGTATACCTTGCTTCCGTTCACATTTTTAAAAAATGCAAAAAGTAAATTCTTAATTCGCTCTTTTATTTTGTCGAAATTAGAAATTTTTTAATTTTCAAGTAATCGATAACGTAATATCGTATTATTAATTTTGATAACTTATAAAAATATTAAAATTACAATAATAATATTAAACGTATAATTAATATATGTTAATGATGTTAATTCACGAATACATAATGTAATTTAATTCGCTCAACAAAAGGGGGAAATCCAACAAACATCCATCTGCAGACCGCATCGATAATAACAGGCGGATGCGATAATGCGCACAGCACACGAATTAATTTTATTGTTTGACTCCGAGCGATGACTTTTGTATGCTTATCCCACGAGGGCTCCTCTGTTTGAGGACCTTCCTGCTACCTGCCAACGGCGGTTCAACGTGTCTCGTTACGTTTTCCTTTTTATAACGGCGATACGGGTAGTGTATTACCTACACATTTACCTCTCGTTCATTGAATACGAGCCGATATCAGCCGCATTTCCGCTCGTAGTAAGTAGCAAAAGAAAAAAAAACAAAAATGTAAAGAAAGACGAGAAAAAAGTGAGATCGATTCGAGACTTGATGCGCAAATCCGCGCCGTTCCGTTATGCTCACAGCATCTTCAGAACACCTCCGTAAACCCCACCCCGACTAACTGATGTCGGTCGTCGATACATTCGAAATATCGGTACCGTGACGCGCGCGACCGCCATAATCCTTCTACATTTAACATCCGAACGCGTGGGTATCAACATGCAACCCGGTGACGATTTACATTTGCGATTTTCACCCTCCGGCAAAAATGCTGGCCGACAATGCCGTCGAGATATCGCCGGGATCTGGCCGTATGAAAAACGTCTTGTGCTTATGCAGCCTCCTACAGTCCACCGACGACTATTTATAACCATCCTATATTTTCTGCAATGTTCACGCAATGCGCTAATTCTTCACATGTAGAAAGCGAGAGATATTTAATATTATACAAATTACTTGATAAATCCAGTACAAATTAGAGTTATTATATGTATATTACACATGCTAAAATATAATATTAGAAATTAGAAATGAGAAATAGATATAGAATTAGATCGAAAAATCAGAAGAATGCACGATCGTAATAAAGTCATAATATGCAAGTTGTGCACGCGTGAACACATCGCAGGATATTTCCTGAAAACCTGCTTCGAGGTGGCGGTTTAAGGTGCACCACCACCTGCGGCCGCCACCAAGAGGTGGATACCTGCGGGGTAGCAAGGCGGCGCAGTCGAGCATGATTCCTTCACATATGTTTACGGCACACCAGCAGTCAGAAACG